ACTGTCACCTCGGGAGCTTCGTGCCGCTGGGGTGTCCTGCTGCAGGAAAGCTGGCGGGTCAAGTAGGTAGTTAACGGATGGGGGAATGATCAGTTGTTCATTAGCAAGGTAGAGGGAAGTGAACCTAGAAACAGTGCTTAACAGCAACAAATAAACTGATTGTAAGCATTTCCATGTTAAGGATCAGAGTTCCTTCCTGAATTCCTTCTGATACTTGAGAGTTTTTTCGGAAGGGGCCTTAATGTTTAACAAAAAAACCACTGTTTCGAAAGGAGAGCACTTGTCGCTTAAATATTGAGGCGGGTAGAGAGGAGAATAAGCTGAGTTTGGTCATCTCTGTTTCTGTAAGGTCAGGAGTCTCTGTGTATGCGTGCACTTGGTAACTATTGTCTGAAAATAACAAGTGTGTGCTTGGAAATGTGGTTGTGCTGGGTATTGCACCAGTGAGACTCTTTGAGTCTGAAGTATCTAGATTCATTTTTAAGTTAAGAGAAGCAGAGTATTTATGGAAGAAAAGTATTGCTTCTCTTTGATCTAAGTGAAAGGTGACTTGGGGAGTGAGTGTTCATACCTATTTCTGCTGTCACTGAGTAATTCTAACTTTGCTTCTGTTGCTGTAGAATGAAAATACTCTGTGTCCAAGACAAAGGAATGCCAAGGTGGAAGATCTTTGGAGTCTGACCAACTTTTTTGGTTTTGCAACTGAAACGTTTGTTTTGGCTGTTAACATTCTGGACAGATTCTTGGCTCTTATGAAGGTATTTTGGGGGAAGAGAAAGGACCTGCTATAGTGTCAGCTGGAAATATGCAAGCTTCCTGTGAACTTTCTTGCCTGACAAAAAGAGCAAGGTTGTGATCTAGGAGATAACTGGCTATTTACTCATTCTATGCTAGCAACATTTCTGAAGTCCTCTGTTGTAAACCTGAAGTTGAGTGCAGTTCTTGCATGAAAGATGAGCTTACATTGATGGGATTTATTAACTGTTTTATACTACGGCCTCTTTACCTCTAAAGGCAAGTAGCAGCATGATGTATTCCCTTTAAGTCTGTAGCCTTCACCATGTAGGTGTAGAAGACTAAGAAAGGAGGAATTAACAAGGAACAAAACAATTTGTGTTACAGACTATTTTTAGGTACTGTGTTAAAGCTTAGCTTATTGCTGGAACTAATACCAAATGATCATTTCCTAGATGTTTTTCTTGTGTTTGTACTGCTTTATGGCAGACAATTTGAACCTAAACCAGTTTCCCATTACTAAGTTGGCAGAAAAACTAAAGTTGCATCAGTTCTCTGGTCTGACTGTCCTTGAGGTTGCACAAAACATTGTGCTGGTACATGGGAAAGAAGAGCAGAGGTAGGAACAAGTTGTGGACGGAGAGAACTGCCTAGAACAGGCTCAGGCTGGATTTGTATAAGCTTTAAATGAGGGTAAGTGAGCGCTGCCCCTTGGAGAAGCAGGGTATTACAGTTCTCACTGCCGTTTGTTGTGTAGTGTTGTGGAACAATTTCAATAGAGGGTGCTCAGCTGTCGAACTGAATTCAATTCCTCCAACTTAGCTATGGCTGATTGATACTGCTTTCTTGGCTCTGCCAGCAGTGTTTTGCTGAAACTTTCAGTGATGAAACTAGTTATGACTAGGTGATGTGTACGAGCTGGTCACGTCTAGCTGAGATAAATAAATCTCTATTGAACTGTGAATATTCAAAATGGCTCAGCTAGGCTGGGTGAGCTGTTGGTGTTGCTGTTTGATAAGCATGGTGTTTATGTGGGGAAAGTATTCACAGTGCTTCCTTTTAGGTGAAACCGAAGCATCTGTCTTGCATTGGAGTTTGTTGTTTCCAACTGGCTGCCCGAGTAGTTGAAGAAGAATGCGATATTCCATCTGCTCATGAGATCATCCGGATCAGCCAATGTAAATGTACTGTGTCTGACCTGAAACGGATGGAAAAGATAATTTCAGAAAAGTTGCACTTTGAATTTAAAGCTACTACTGCCTTAACCTTCTTGCACTTGTACCATACTATTGTACTCTGTCATACCTCAGAAAGGTGAGTTGAGTTGCACTTTGGTGGTCTGTGTTTGCTAAGCCCTTTTTCTCTTTAGTTGCCTCTTAAATGTTTATGGCATTGGCTGTAGAGGAGGCAGCTCTGTAGTTTTTACTTCCTGACGAGTGAATGCTTGTTGATACAAATACTTCTTCTCTTGGATGTCTTACAGGAAAGAAGTATTGAATCTTGACAAATTGGAAGCACAGCTAAAAGCTTGTAACTGTCGTCTCGTCTTTTCTAAAGCAAAAGTAAGTAGAAGGAGCTTTCTTTGACTTGAGTAGGTTTTGATTCGTGTCATGTTGAGCAATGTGGGGTTTTTTGTCCTTCTAGCCGTCTGTCTTGGCCTTGTGCCTTCTCACTCTAGAAGTTCAGACTTTGAAGTCTGTTGAGCTGTTGGAGATCCTTCTGCGTGTTCAAAAGCATTCTAAAGTAAGTATTTTCTGTGGATTGTTTTTGTGGTTGTTGGGACTGGTGCAGTTAATGATGTACAGTCTTCCATTTAAGGGGCCCCAGCAGTCAGTGCACAATCTTTACAGGTACTGTTTGATGTCAGCTGAAATAAGCAGTGAAATAGGTCTTTAAGCATCTGTCTGAAACTCTTGTAACCAACCAGTGAAACCATTTTCATTGATAGAATGCCAAATGCAAAACCCTGCTGCTTAGTGAGTGAGGTCAGGTAGTCATTTTGCACTGGCACATCTTGGCAGCTGTCTGGCAAGCAAAAGGATTATGGTTTAAAAAAACAGCTTAAATGTGTCAAATCAGAAGAAATGCAGACCTAATGCCTGCGCCTACATGCTTTAACAAGCAGCTGATTTAACTTGTACAGTTCTACCTGTATGTTCTAGAGAAACTTGCAGTCAGTTTGTAGCACTACAGTGACTGCTGGGCTGATGATTCTTTTTGCCTGAATGACTAATGTAGGATTTACAGCTTCTAGCTGCATGCTGTATCAGTTCATGGTCTAAAACAAGCTTTTTGAGCTTTTACAGTCAGGTTGAACTAACCCAGTTTCTTCAGGGGAGGAAGTAGTTCCTTAAAGTATGAGATTATTCCATTTGAAAATGGAATAATCTTGGTTTCATTTTTCATGGGAACTGATAATGAAAATGTTAACAGCAACTGACAGGCAAACTCCACTCAAACTTCAACATGGCTGTTTCTAGGAAATGTATAGGAGGTCACCTTCAAAAGCAGCCCAACTTTAAGAAAGGTGTCGCAGTAATGACTCAGATCTTGACTGATACTTTTTTGAGTCTTTTCTGAGAAGGTAAGATGGAGGGAGGAGTTATCTTTAGAGCCTGTGGGTAATAGACTAAATAGGTTCTTGTTTCGCCTTGCAGATAAGTGATAGTGACCTGCTTTACTGGAGGGAACTGGTCTCGAAATGCCTAGCAGATTATTCTTCTCCTGAATGTTGCAAGCCTGATCATAAAAAGCTAGTTTGGATTGTTTCAAGGCGTACAGCCCAGAATCTACAAAACAGTTACTACAGTGTTCCTGAGTTGCCAACGATACCAGAGGGTGGATGTTTTAATGAAAGTGAGAGGTTGGTAAAACTTAGACCAGGTGATTAATTTGGGAATTCTTATTTTCTGGAAATGTTGATGGCAACTCTGACAAACTAGGCTTATTCACTACTACTTGGAAAAAAAAATGCTAGCTTTGACAATACTGATGCACTTAAAATACATCTTAAACAGATGAGGGGGTGGGAAGGGAGGGAACTGTCATTATTGTGTTCAAAAGGTGCCAGTGCTTGAAGGGTGGGGGGAGCATTCGTTTTTTTAAGGCATTGAGGCTTACAAAGCATTTGTCTTCTAAAGTAACTTACATTTGGTCTCTTGACCGCCATTGTCTTGGCTGGCAGGAGATTTTTGGCAATAGAAGAAAGGAAATTGTGCCTGGTATGATTTAAGCCTAAGTGCTGGGAAGTATTTAGATCTGGGATGTTATACTAGGAACAGAAAGCATGCGAGAAAACAGGATTGAGGAGTATTTTGCCATGTTCAAGGGGTTATGCTTTGTTTAAAGTACCTTTCCTACTGTTCCTTCTAGTGAAGACTCCTGTGAAGATATGAGCTGCGGAGAAGAAAGCCTTAGCAGTTCTCCTCCAAGTGATTTGGAAGGCGCCTTCTTCTTTGAACTCAAACCTAAAACAAAGTGGCAAACTCTTAGCTGTCGGTCTGAACATTAAGTCTTGATTGTATGAGGTTGAGATTTTTCATGTACCATGGAGTCTTTTGGCAATAATAAATGAGGTGGTAATCTGTAAACCGTATTAAGGCAAGAATTGCTGTGGTATACCGATGCTTTGAATGCCTGCCTTGTTTATTTGTTACAATTTTAAGGAAGAAAAAAACCTTTTAGGTCCCCAGTTCAGCAAAAAAGTTGCTGTGTAGTTCTGTTCTCAACAAGCATGAATGCAGTCCTGTACCCAGTGGTCCAAAACGCTTAGCAGCTAAGCACATTAGCAGCGTGCCTGGCAACAAGGAAGGCTGACAGCGTGCTGGGCTGTGCTAACAGGAGCATCACCAGTACGTTAAGGGAAGTAGGTTTTTCCTCCCTCTACTTGGGCAGTCATTCTCATTTGGAACAGTTTTGGGCTCAAGGTGTTCATAAACTGTGCAAGTCCAACAGGAAGCTGCCAAGATGATTAGCAATTTGAGACACGAGACCTGTGAGGAGAGGCTAAGCAAAATGAGCTTTTTCAGCCTGGCAGAGTGGCCTTTGAGGGGGGAAGTGGGATTGAACAGCAGCCTTTTGGTATCTAAGAGGAGGTTGCTCAGGAGAAGGTATTTTCAGGGCCTTGACTGAGAAGCATGCAGCGAGAATGGGAGGCTTATGTTAACTTGATATGTGAAGTTCTCAATTAATGGAAGAAGTTTGCTCCATGGGAGTGGACCAAGAGGGGTTGTGCAGTCTTTGTCCTGGGAGGTTCTTGGGTTTCAACGTGACAAAACCCTGAGCTTGGTTTGAATTCAGTGTTGACTCTCGAGTGGGAGGTTGGACTAGTCCTCTTGAGGACACCTCCACCCTTCAGTATTTTGGGATGATATCAGATTGCTTCACTGGGTTGTGTAGTAAGTAGCAGGCTGAAATGACTTACCAGCAGGATCTTGAGTAATGTACTCAAAGTAAATAAACTTTTTTCTAAAAGTTTTTATAAACTTCAGGAATCCCTGTTTCACCACAGGAGTATGCATGGCAAGAAGGAGGTTTTTAGTCAGTACGAATTTTCAGTAAAGGAGAGTATAAAGTATGTGGCAGGGAGTAATTCCATATTTTCTTTAATACAGATGGTTTTACACTGAAATTCACATTGTATACTTCAGTGTGTTTAAAATCTTAACTGTTAACATGTCAATCCATACTATTAGCTTAGACTTATTAATGTGGAAAATCTTGATAAGTCTACATTCCTTTTAATATTTAACCCTTGTAGTTGTTTTTCAGTATATTCATGTTACTGAGTCATAATCAGACTTGTTTGCATGCTTATGTAAAGCAGTTAGTGCAGGAAAAGTTGGTATTATGCAGTAATATCAGGTAAATGTGATGTTGATGAAGTAGTTAATGTTTTTTCTGAACTTTTATTGAAGCACAAACTAAAGTATGATTGTATTTCTCCATATTGAGAACATGGCTAGGTAGCAGGTAGACTAATCAGCTCAGAATAACGGTGTGAAGTGTGGTGGTGCCAAAGTAGAAATGAAGGAGCAAACAGGCTAAAGGCTGTTTTGTAGATGCAAGCATTGTTTTAGAATGGTGAGAGTGGTTCTGTAAGTTCATAAATGTTACGTGATTTAAGTTTTATAAGAATACAAAAAGTTTACAAAAATGTATATAAAAATGTAAATGAAAAAATGTACAGAAAAAAATTTAAAACAAAAAGAGCAGAAAATACTGTATTTTTTTACGTTATATGTAACTTTTTGTAGGTATGTTGCATGTAGATAGTAATTTATTGTGTACTCTGTATGATACTGTACACCTGAAGACTTCTTACTGCAAGTCTCTGCGCCTGGAAGCTCACTTCTGAAATGGAGTACTTTGGTTGCAGGTAATGAACCTACCGAGTCTGGTTTCAGTTGAGAACAAAAATAAACTAAGTGCTGTATTTGTAACTGGTGTGAGTTATGGCTGGTTATTTGAAGCTTTTGGCTTGCTTTTTGCTGTATAGCATGTATGGTACTGCAGCTGTGTTCCAGCTTCCCCAGAAGCTCTGGTAAGCAATTTGCAAAGGGGAGACTTGTGTGTGGCTTGCTACAGAATCTCTTCTCAGCTTTGCTCCTGTCAGTTCTAGAAGCTAGTGTGAGGTGTCCTGCCTGTCAGCCCCCCAGCTGCAGCTGGGCGCGGTGCTGCTGGGATGAGTGGTGCGTTTGCACAGCTGGCAAATGGGGCTCCCACTAGTGGTGAAATTAGGGGTCCGTACAGGCGTAGCGTCGGTTTGGCTGGGTTGGTGGTTGCTGCTGCTCCGAGTCTTCTGAGTGAAACCTGGTCTCAGCATGTGTCTGCACCTTGGCAATGTGAAACACCTACAGTAACTCAAAGGCAAACTCGAGCTTGTTTCCTCTTTGTCTCATCCTGCCCATCTTGCCAAAGTATTTGCAAATGGAGTCTGCGTTGCAAAAACTAAGGAATAAGGGGCTGTAGATAGTTCTTCATGGAAAGATGTTCCTGGCCCTAGAAAGACTGAAAGGGGGAGCCAGGGCCTGCACTCAGCTACCTGCTGAGATGGCTGCAAGCAGCATTGCAGACCTATTGCACCTTGTAGCTGGTGACAGATCTTTTTGTCTTTTTTTTTTGTTTGTGTGAGGAATGGAGTGAGAGAAAGCACAAAGGTGCATGCTCTGCCAGGCCAACCTGTCCCAGCTCTGGCCATGGCTGCTGCGAAGGGGAATCCTGCCTCGATGTGCCAGCGTCGGGGCGGTGTGTGTAGGCAGGGGCTGGGAGTGAATATGGTGCTATGAGGCTGACAATGAGTGCTGTCAGTCATTGGCAGGGACGATGTGTGGGAAGAACAGGGCCTCTGCTGTGAAAATAATTCTCATTTTTTTTCTGTATGGCCTTCATAGCTACTTTTTTAAATACAGGAACACACTACAAGGCTTCTCACTTCCCACATACAGCAGATAAGGGATGGACACTTGATATTCTGAATTTCTGTATGAAATTCCCTTCTGTCTAGTACCTCACATGCACCACTGAAAGCCAATTCTCTAATGGAGCTGTTCATCTTTGCAACATGCACTGTAATGCTTGAAGAGCGATGGCTTCCTTGCTGTCTGTGGTGACTGCTTTGAACATGAAAGCTACTGCAGCAGAGATGCTCAACTTCCACTTCAAAGGAGCCCACTCGGGTTGCTTCAGCGCAGCAACTGCCTTGTTTGGGAGCTGGCAGATAATGCGTGTGCGGCGTAGGTGGGCTGCTATGAAGGCAGGAAGCCATGGGCAGTGTCTCTGCGCTTACTAACAGCTGGTGAGATTAATCTGTTTAATAAAGCTTGAGGTGTACTGTTCAGCCCCTTTCAGGTTCATCCTGGCATGAAAGTAAACTTGCTTGCAAGAACGTTGTCAGGTTTACTTCTGTGGCTTGATAATTTAGGCTCAACTTTGATTTTGCTGGGTCAGATAGCTGTGTATCCCTCAAAGGAGGTTTGCCTGGCTTTGTTCAAAGAATAGGGCTTTTGGTGGTTGGCTTGTTCTTAATAGCAGAGGTATGCATGGTTTTTAAATGCTGTTTTGGGCTTGCTTGTTCCAGGAGGTGAAACTTTATAAACGCTTGCAGTCTCAAGAGTTTAAATATGTGCTCATTTTCATAACTGTGTTGTCAGTGAGACTGGTTTGGTTGGGGATGAGGGGGGTGGAAGGGAATGTTTCTGCGGGGAAGACAATGCCTGGGACAGCTCCTGGCTGTGTGGTTCCTGTCTGAGCTCTGGGATGTTACGCCCTGTGCCTTTGTGGGGTAGCATGTGGCCTGACTTGAAGCATAGAGCTGAAGGTTCACATGGGTGTAGACGAGCCCTGGTTTCTGAGAGGATCTTGAGATGTTACCATGCTGCTCGCCTGTGGCTGAACTGAGCCACAAGGCATCAGTAGTGGAACTGTCTGTTCTAGTGAATTGTCATTCCATACATAAATAATGATAATGGCCTTTTAAAGAGGAAACTTGACATCTCCACTGCTTGATTACGTGACAAGTGACATGGAACAACGAAGTCTTTCAGTGTAAATCAGTCTGTGCTCAGGCCCTGGTCTTTAACAGCTCCCCATTTTTTCTGGTGGAGTAAGTAATATGTTTCTGTTGGTCAGTGCTTAGAGCAGGCTCTGTGCTTGACTGTAGCATGAGAGGCTGAACAATACCATAAAGGAGACAGCTGATCTGAAAGACAGGGCTGCCTCCTAATCTCATACCATTTCTTTGCTTGCTTGTGAAGGGGCTGGACTCGTAGATGACTGTCTTATTCTTGTGATGCCAGTTAGCTCTCAGGGCTTTGAAGCTCAGTGAAATGTGCGTCAGTGGATACTGGGGCAAGACCAGAAACCAGCTTCTGCAGTTTCCAGTTCAATGTACATTGTATAGGGCCTTCAACAAGGAAAAAATCTTCGTTTCCATTTCAGAACAATGTCTAACTCACAGCTGCAGTCTTCACCTCCCTAAAAACTTCGTGTATGTGAGACAGATGACTCAAGATATTTTGAGGACGTACTTCAGGAACCAGCAAAATGTGCCTCGCGAGCATACATGCTCGAAGAGCAAGATCTGTTTGCTATGCACAAGTTGGTGGATATGTTTACACACAAGCAGCAGTTTCACCATCACTGGGGAGAGACTGGGCAGAAGAGAGAGAGTGGGTGTGTAAGTATAGCTGAGCAAAGCCTGTGCTGAGTGTTCTTGTTTAACTGAACTGCGTAGCTCCTAAACACCAAAAGGCATGGGTTGGACTTCAGGTCTGGACTGTCAGGTTTTGAGTTCTTGCTCTGAATTCCTGTTGTGTAAAAGCTTTTCTGGAAGAGAGTCAGAATATAGATGAGATAATGTCTAACATATGTGCTGACAAAATTGCTATTGCTAACTAGCTTCTTCACAAAATGGCCACTGTTTGTGCTCAAGCAGCTTGCCAAGTGGTGTAAACCGAGAATAGCTAGTGGCAGAGGTAAGCATGGAAGTCATCAGCTGGGACAGTGGAGAGAAGCTGTAGAGTTTATCAGCATATAATAATAAAGCATTAGACTAGGTGTTAGACAGCCCTGTGGTCTCTACTGTGTATTGTATGAGCAGATAATCAGTATTATTTATCTTATGATACATGTTGCAGCTGTGATGTCACACAGCCTTGCATTATGGCTTAAGCCTGTAAGAGTCTACTGTAGTGCATATACTAAA